GAGAGAGAGAGAGAGAGGGAGCTATGGAAATAATGGGAAAATATTTGTAGCGATAAAGTGAAACGCAAGAGCGAATGCTTTAAAGTGCATTAATTTAATAATGCAAACATGCAGCAAGTTGCATTAACTCTCGCCGCGCAGGCGGCATTAAAATTTGCATAATTGCCGCGAGTCAGGCGCGAGTCAAAGAGCGTGCGAGGGAGTTAAAGGATTTTTTGTAATTGTTATGTGCTGCGGCTCTTGCTGCTTGTGGCCGTTGCCGTTGCCGTTGCCGTTGCCATTGCCGTTGCATGCAACACATGCAGCCAAGGAGTTTTTCAAGCCAAACGAGCGTCCAGCACTTGCCGCAATTAACGATTTTTCATGATTTCAGTGCGGGGCCGAAGCAATTTGCATAAATCAGCGCAAAGTATCTGTGACAACGCAAAAGCCCAGCCGGGGGTGACTGAGGTCCCCCTGCTTGTCATGTGGGTCCCTGCTGCTGCTGCTGCTGCTGCTGCTGAAAAATGTTTACGCATTTGCAACTGTCTGAAGGTCAAACTGAGAACGCATGTATGCGTGTGTGTGTGGCATGATTTAGGCGCCAGCTCCTCCTCCAATGCCCTCTGCTGAGTTATTGCACGGCAGCGGGCCAGCCATTGGTTCGCTCTTGGGCTGGTCACAACTGATTCTGTGCCTCGTGCAGCTTTAATTTAATTTATGCCACAACAGCAACAAAGAGCGGAAGCCCTGTCGAGAGCCACTAAGTGGCCGCCCTCAGCAAAATTAAATGCAGTCAACAATGTTGTTGCTGTTGCTGTTGCTGTCGCTTCTGCTGCTGCTGTCGCTTCTGCTGCTGCTGTTTTTAAATACAATTTATTGTTATGGCAACACAATGTGTTTAGTTTTATGGCCCATAAGACGCCTAATATTAATGCACTAAACTGCATTCTTCAGCCCGCAGCTGAGTTATTTAATGCGTAATTACAGCGCAAATCTTCTTAAGCTAAGACACTCACTCAGCTGGCCAAAGCAAAATGGAAAATGGAGAGCGGAAAATGTTAAATGGAAATTGTATGAAAGCAGCTTAGTGTTTGCTTCACTGCATTCATAAGCGTCTCAGTCGTTCCCTCTTTCTGTCTCGCTGCAGTCTATAGAAATTCTCCAAGCGCACAAAAAGGTCAAAAGCAAATGCGTGCAAAATACCAAAATAAGCATAAAGACCAATGGCAACTGCAACTGCAACAGCATCAGCAACAGCAACTGCAGCAACAACCGCATCGTCAAAAGTCAATTTACTGGCAACACTGGCAACAACTTCAACTAATTAGCCAGTGCTTGGCTTCAAGGGCTGCGGCTGGCTCTTCAGCAGCCCCTCGGCCAAGGGAAGCAAAAAAAAGTGTTGCATGCTTTTAGGCGCTGCCTGGAATTCCGCAAACACTTTACGTCGCAAGCGTAGCTAGTTATGCAGGCATGTATGTCTGTTTGTGTGTGTGTGTGTGTGGTGTGTGTGTATGTACCTCAAGTGTTGTGTGTGTTTATGAGCCACTCGGTTGCATGTTGCATTTAGTTGCCATTTAGTTGGCTGCAGCCCACCCCAGGATGTCCAGGAAGCATATCTTGGCTCACAATTCAATATTTGGCTAGAAATTATCGCATTTCATTGTTGCAAATATTTTGATTTGTGTACTTCGAGTCGTTTATTTCAATTGATTGCATATCTTAGATCCAATTCATTAGCCATGAAATATGCAAGCCAGCATACCTTGCCCTACACCAGCACAAGCCAAATATTTGCTTTAAGTCTCGTACAAATTGCTTTTCCGATTGAATTTGATTTATTTCATCGTTTGCAATCCTCAACCAAAGACTGACACAATGCAATACATGTGCGACTAGAAGAAATTGCTCTGAAGATATCTATCAATATTTAAAGTGAAATCAATTCATTTCATGAATTAGAGCCAAATCTCTCAATTGATTTCACTCAAAGTTTATCGACAGTTGGCTATAAATATTTTATGGCTATAAATTTAGAGATAACTTTTATATCCTTAACACATTGGAAATTGCCTAAATGCGGTAAATTGTTTTTATGCAAATGAATGGAAGAGAAGCATAAAATCTATATCAATATTTTTGTATGAAGTCATATTCTTAGAGATTTTCGGCACAGCTTGGAATTTATGAAAAGTTATAAATGTACACAGATGATATGTATGGAATATATTAAAGTGTGTATATAATATCCAATAAATTATATTAGGTAATATAAATAAAGTAATATATAAAAATTTATCAGCTTAAAATTAAAAAATTATAATACAATTAATTGAGCTTAGTTTAAAAATATGTAAATAATTTTTGTTTCAAACTAAATTAATTAAGCTAATAAAATATATAAAATAGATGAAAATAACCAAATAAGAGATGAACTTAATTCAATAAAAAAATAATAATAA